AAATTGGATTTGGAGATTGAGGTGTTGAGGTGTTGAGGTGTTTAGGTGTTGAAGTGTTTAGATGTTGAAGTTGTAGCGTATGTATTTGTATTTGTATTTGTATTATGGGAGAGATATTCCCATCTCAAACTTCATTTCTTTTCGTTGCATATTATATCATATCATTCATTCCTCATCCTCATCCTTATCCTAATAAGCTAGTTAATGCAATCTTGTCCAGTACAGTCCAGTCCAGCAAAGTCCAGTCCAGCAAAGTCCAGTCCAGCAAAGTCCAGCTCCAGCCCAGTTTATGCTATCCAGTTGAATGCAATCCATATTATCCATTTCAGCCCTATCCAGCCCAGTCCAATGCAATGCAGACAATGCAATGCAATCCATACATGGGTACATATGTAAGTACATAGGCAAGTAACTAGGTAATTTGCATAAACTCATAGACCCATAAACTCATAAACCCATAACCCCATAAATAACCCCGCACATCTTACTCGAGTACTATTTATCGAAATAGCAAATCCATATGTATATCCTCGTCCTCATCCCACACTCATCACCATCAACATCCCTATCCTCATCCACACGATGAATTATAAATCATAAATAACATATGCTATATGCCATGCCATCGACACTAAACAGCACACGCACACCAAACCCAAACCCACAAAGCAGAAACGAAAAATATGGATGCGGTGAGTGTAGTGGCTAGGTGGATGGTTTCGCATGTTTCTGAGTTTGTGTCGAGGGAAGAGGAAGAGGAGAAGGGGGTGTAGTCGAATTCCCAGATTTCCTTTTCTTCCTCTTCCAAGACGCAATTCTCGCTTGTGGCATCTGGATTGTACTCGGAGAATAGAGAGCTGGAGCTGGGTTCGGGATTGTGATTGATACTGATACTGGTACTGGGGTTTGTGTCCTGGGTAGGGGTTTCGGCGTCGATATCGGTATCAGAATCGCAATCACAAGAGGATTCATAATCGATCTCCCATATTTCTTTGCAGGATGCGCTGTTCGATTTCGATTTCGATTTCGATTTCGATTTTGTTGTCAGGGTTGGACATGAGATTGGGCATGGCGTTGTATTCGGAAAGAGAAAATTGATGATGCTGAGATCTTCTTCCGTGTACATCTGCATCTGCATCTGAAAGATCGCCTCTAGATGGATTTTCGAGGGAGATTCTGGGATATTCATGGGTATGGCCATATCCTCTACCGCTCTCTCTGTCTCTGCCTCTATCTCTGTATCAAACGATGCCGATTCAGGAAGTGGAACCGCAGCTGCAAGTCTCAACAAATTCTCCATTTCCATTTCCCTTTCCCTTTCCCTGCGCCATTGCAAGATGTCAAACTTTTCCCTCTCCTCTTCTCTCTCTGAAAATGTACCTCCTGATTCCCCTTCCTCTTCAGATCCAGATTCCACATCACTTCCCGACCCGTTGAATTCAAAATCAAGACTTAATCTTTCTCCTCTCGGTTCTGATCCTTTGGCTCCATATAGCATTTCTTCATATGCTACTCCTTCCTCGTTACATCCATCCATTCCTATTCCTATTCCTATCCCCATACCCATACCCATACCTATTCCCATATTTCCAATCTTCTCCTCAAAATCCCTCTTGACCCCCTCCATCTCATTTTTTAAATTCTCTGTCCGCAAATTATCCACGAATCTTTTGGCAGTAACGGAATTTACGTGCCGATAATCAGATTGGAAATCGGTATCAGAATGAGACTCGGAACGAGACTCAGAGTGAACATATTCACCAGTTCGACCTCTCTCAAAAGTCTCCCGATCTTGAGCGTGCGTGCGCAAAAGTAAGTGTGCGCGACGGCCTAGATCATAGGCACGTCGTCGGAGGGCGTTGGTGAGGGTTTTTTGGATGCGCTGGAGGGTTGCGGGGTCGTGGGTGGGGTGAGTGGACGGTGTGTTATTGTTGGCTACTGTGCGTGGTGTTAGGTTTACGGTTTGCGGTTTGCGGTATGGGGGTTGCGGTATTAGATTGGGATGATGAAGAGAAGTGAATCTTGTGTATAAAAACATGTATAAAAACATGTATAAAAACGCAAGAGGAGAAGAAGGAAAAACTTACAAATCTTCCGATAAGCCTCATCGATATCCTTGGTCGTTACATCAGCACTCTCCGGTAAACCAAGAATCTCATAATACGACATGGTATATGGATTTGACATTTCGACTTTCTCCACTTTCTCCTCGACTATGGGCTGAGCACCAATTTCGGGGGTTGAGGAAGATATTTGATCATAGTTTGCGAAACGATGAGAGATGTTATTATTACCGTTAGCGTTAAGGGTAGCATGTGTCGGATAAGAAACAGATCGGAGGGGTGTAGATGGTGTGGATGGTGCGTTTGATATGACAGGAGAACTTGAGCGTGCGGATACCCAGGATTTGTATTGGGATTTTTCAGTTGGGAAGGGGAGGGGGCGTGGGATTTGTGTTGTAGAGGTGGAGGGGGTGGTTGGAGGGGTTTGAGTTTGTTGGCGGGATCTTGATTTGGAGAAGGAGGACATTTTGGAATTGTTATGTTGGTATTGATATTGGTGTTGTATGTGGTATGGTATGGTATGGTATGGTATGGTGTAGATGAGAAGTTGATTTGTATCGAGTATTGAGTTGATTAAACTTGATAAGTAGAATCAAGAGTTTGAAAATGCGACGCAAAGATAATTATCGTGGTCGTTGTAGTTGAATTTGCTGGAATCGTAATGATTATTGTTGTGATTTCCAGTTGTAGTTGTAACTGCACAAAAGAAATCTCCTTCAAGTAAAAACCTTTCGATCCTTTTAAGCTGGTTCTGAAGCCGTATTGACAGATAGGTTGGTATAGCTGCAGTACTGAGACTGAGGGGGTACATCACAATATATGAAGAACCAAAACTAGCGAGATGTATCAGGTGGACAATAGGAAGAAATTGGGTGAATTGGGTGAAATTGGTGAATTTTATTTGTGGTGTAAGGTGGGGTGGCGGAGGAGGGGAGGTCGGAGGGAAAAGGGTGGAAAGTGAATATTTTGGGAGATGAGATGGATGGATGGGAAATTGAATTTTTGGCGGGCAGTAAGATCTTTAGGTGATAGTGAGGGGTAAAGAAAGATGAAGATATAAAAAGATGGGAGGGAAATGGGAAATGGGAAATGGGAAATAGAAAGTAACAGAAGTGAAAGTGAGACATGAAAATTACATCTGAGAGTGATATGATATGATGGCTTAAGAGAAGTTTGAGAAAGTGAAGCATGAAAATAACATCTGGGAGTGATATGATGTGGGACGACGGGAAGATACAGCAGGCGAGAGAGAGGAAGTTTGATATGAGATCTTATATCGGCTCTGGGTCTGAATTTGGAATTGGGTTTGCGTGAAAAGTAGTGCGTTGCGGTAGATGTAGTGTATATAGATAGGTAAGAGGTAAGATATAAGAGACCATAGCTTCAAATCTGATAAGGATTGCTTGTTTTTTGGTGGTTGGATATATCAAGTGATCAGAATGATGTATAGATGAATAGTTGTATATTTTCGATATACCGGTTTCGATACGAGGTGTGTTTGTATTTCGTCTGCTCATCTTGTATGCCGCACTTCAAGATGCTTTCAAATTTCGTTCTCGAGGCGCTGAACAGTATAATCTGGAGTGGATTTAAGTGAGCAAGATGAGTTTTCTCAAAGAAGTGTGGATTCATTTCAGTGTCTTTGAGGAGAATCTTGGGTTTAAGAAAGAAATGAAAATTTCACTTACAAGCCAACAGACTACAGATTATTTTCTTTCCTCTTCTTTTCTCTCTGCTTGCCTTGGTCCAGACTCCACAGTTAATACAATCCCCCCCTCTCTCGACTACCCGTTCCCATATCCTCCCATTCCCCACCATTCTACTTTGCATATCTCCTACTACTGCGATCACTGCCACTCCTTCCACTCCTACCACTCCTACCACTCCTACCACTCCTACCACTCCTACCACTTCTACTACTCCTACTACTCCTATCACTATCTCCAACATCATCCCCATCACCATTCATATCATTCAAGTTAAAGCCCCGTTCCCTTCTCTTCCTCTCCCTCTCCCTCTCCTTATCCCTCTCCCTCTCCCTATCCCTATCCTCCTCCAATAACTGCCACTCTCTCTCAATACACCTCCGTTCATTTTCAAACCTTTCCTGTTCTTGAAATATGAGCTCTCGCATCTCCAGAACTCCTTCGATGGTTCTCTGCATCTCTATTTCTCTTTCCCTCTCCCTTTCCCTTTCTCTTTCCCTCTCCCGTTCCCTCTCTCGATTCTCACCACCCATTACCCCACGCCTACCATTCATCCCTCTCCCACCTTCCCCCGCACGTCTCTCCACCTCTTCATCCCTCCTCCTAATCCTCGCTCTCTCCCTATCTCTCTCTCTCTCTCTCTCCACCTCATCATCCATCAACCCAAAACCAGAATTACAACCATACCTACCACCAAACCCACCACCATATCCACCACCCTCTCGACGCAACGAAGGTGAAGTCCGACTCGAAACATAAAGCGGTATCGAAGGAGACCCACGATTACCAATCCCCGCATCCATACCAGTATTACCCGTCAAACAAACCGGTTTGAACCTAGGAGATTCTCGATACGTATACCAACCCGGTATACACCCTTGATTTCTGCTGCGGTTTCTGGATTGGCGCGATCGACTAGGGAAAAATGTGTGAGGATTGGGGAAGAGATTGCGGAAGGCGTTCATGGTGGATGGATGGCTCGGGTACACGAGAGGATTGGTTGGGGATGTGTTCTTGGTTCTGAGCTGATGATTGATGCTGTGGTGAGGCGCCTTTACGGTGGTAAGTATGGGGTGGATGGGTGGATGGGAAATGGAGGGATTGGGAACTTTTATACATCTGCTATCTGATTGACGCCCTGGATATGAGAAAGTGTAAGAGAGGTGATCAAAGCAAACACTATCTTTGGGTGGGAGGAAATGACCTCCTGTCCACGCAAGAACATCTTGTGAGCCGAGCCGTAGGTTGAGATGGAGTTTAGTTTGCTCCTCCTATAGCAAACTCACTGAAGAAGATATGGACAAGTTTGAACCATCTCAGGAATTTTGATATAAAGAAATATGACAATCAAAAATGAGAAGAGAGGTCATCAGCACATAACAATAGGTATATTTCGGGATGATATTGAACAGAAAAACGGACCAATCAAACCAAATTAATAGCATAAAAACACTCGCAAAAATCAATGCAAAGCAACAGTAACTAATCGATTAATCCAGAGGTGAGCAGAAATACAATCCCCTACTTTTGAGCATAGCAGGTCGCATCAAACACCCCTGAAAGACATCAGCTTAGCAAGCAACAATACCATGATCATAGCCCCTAAATTCATTCCCCTCCCTAAATTCCCCTCAACCTAAACTTATTTTCTCTCATTGTTGCTCTCCGATCTCTCTCTTCCAAATATTCAAAGAGTTCAACCCATTCTTTAAAATTTAGGTGCTTATACGGACCCTCTTTCGGATCACAAAAATACGCTTGTAAATCTTCATAGCCTTCTGATATCTTCCACCTCTCTTCATAAATTTTCAAAACTAACTTTGGGTCAAATCTCAAGTCTGGTGCGTGGGGGGATCGAAGTTCGGGTGTGAAGGGTTGGCCTTGAGAAAATGCAGAGGAGGGGAGTGGGAATTGATCTGGACGGGGAGAATCGACTGGTTGGGTTGTTCGTCGGAATTCTTGGTATGTGGGGATTTTATCGGTCGGTGTGAAGGGCTGTTGACCGGCATTGATTCGTTCGTCCCAGATTTTGGCGACCTCTGGATCTGTTGGGAAGGAGGTTCGACCTAGTGACACGGCTCTTCGTCGACGGATGTAGGATGGATTTGAGGGGTGGTGTCTGCTGAATTTACTATCGTCTTTTTGACTTGCATAGAAATTGTCTCGATTGTTTAGGCTATGGGAGGGTTTGGATGAGGGTCTGTAAATCCCTTGTTGAAGACCGGAGACGATCGATGATGATCTTGTGGTTCGAGTTGGAGGTGTTAAATTCGATGAGCCATGAGGCGCTAAGATTTATGGTTGTAGGTTTTGGTGATGAGGACGTGCGATATGTGATTGTTGAGAAGAGGTTTGTGGTAAGGAATCAATTTGTGGAATGACGGTACCTGAGGATGTATCTGGGCGTAAATCTTCTATGTATCCCGGGAAAAGTTCAGGTGTGCCTTTACCCACAGGAGATTGAGTTAGATCTGAAAGACGAATTTGATTTCGAAGTGAGTGGGAAGGTCTAAGATGTACATTCTTCTGATGTTCCACAGTTGGAGGAATAGACTTTCGAGAAAAGCGAAGGGAGTCGGGTAGATTGCTATCATGATATACCGAAGTTGGAGAATTAACAATGCTTTGCATATCGCGCACAAAGCGTGCAGATAAGGGCACAGGTATTTCATTCTCATATTCAGAATACTTGGAGGATTCTCGTCTCTGCTGGCTTGAGTGTCCTGGTATTTGAGATGTCTGGTCTGAAACGGGGATGGGGGTGTAAGCGGATGATGAAGATTGGGTTGCTGCTATCGGAGGTGCGTCAGAGGGAAAGAAGGATGCAAGGAGGACGTGCAGACTGTGGATAAGCAGTTGATACAAAGTCATCGATCCATTCAGAGTTGCGTATTTGGGGCAACGATACGGCGGTGATGGGTATTTCTGGGTTGGTTGGAGAGTCCGATGATGTGTCATTAAACGTCGGCCATGCTGTCGTCGGAGCAGAGTCGCTGGTATCCATGATGAAACTTATATTCGAGATTGTATTGTTTAATACTTTCTCTTCGGAATATCCTGCTAACTGTTAGAGAGTCATGGCTTGAATAGAAGAAGAATTGAGTCATCATAAAAGCATACCGAGACCACACCTTTCTTCCCCAGCTATTTTTTCCGAGCCCAGTGAATACCACGAAATCATACCACTCACTACGCCTCACTCATCCTATGATTCTTCATCTTCTTCCTTCACAAACCCCATATGTAACCTCCACCACTTCCTCAAAACCTCATCCTTCCCCACCTCCAACCCATAATCCTTTAAACTCTCCAATTGCTTAACCTTCCCCGCTGGAACATCCAGCCTCCTCCCTTCCACCCCTTCTTTCTTCATCAGCTCGAAATTCTTATACCTCAAATTCTACATCCCTCATCAGATCATCAGTCATTCGTTCGACCCTCAATCATAATCATGCTTGTAAGCTTTTGCCTGGGTATTTTCATGGCATATTTCTAGTCCAAGCAAATGTACCATCAAGATAAACCCACCTTAACAACCTCCAACCATTCATCCGCGTTCTCAATTTCTCCCTCTGCAAGCATGACTCCAGGTGGTCTTCCAGTCTTTAGTAATACAGCACAGTCTAATCTCTTTGCTGATTTGGTTATCTTTTCGATCTTTTTGACTGAAGTCATGTGATGAGTTTTAATCAATATTCTTGACAGATTAGAAGTGACATTTTGCCCGAGCCACATAGTATTGGTTGTGTGGTTGTATTGATCGTTGTATTTTGCAAATCGTATGTCGTAGTCTAGTACTAATTGACAAAGATAATGAACAGGGGAGATAGAAGATGTGTTCTTGTTTTGATTTGTCTGGGATGATGATGAACCCCTGCCATTTTGCTCACAAAAATGTATAACAGGTCATATATTAAATTTCTGTTTCATAATCATAACAAAAACATTCAACGGTTGTATGGTGTAATGGTCAGCACGTCGGATTCTGATTCCGGAGATATTGGTTCGATTCCTATTACGACCTTCTATTATGAAGGTTCTTCCCACCTCAGTTCGATTCTGAGCCCTCAACTAAATTTTTGCCTTTTTTTTTCTTTCCGCTTTCATATTTTGCTTTTTCTTTGAGAGGCAATTAATTGAATTGGACTTCGATTTTTGCTTCTACGAATACGAGGAAATCATTTTTTCACTGATAATATTACAGGGTTCAAATATGATGCATGGACCATATTATGTAATGCAGGAAAAACCCCGCGATCGGCCGCATTTTTCTTTTGACTAGTGCGGGCAACCAACTTTTGGATATTATTTTGTATGTGTCCCCCATCTATATATCTCATTTCATGATTAATTAATCGTATCTACCCATTTCTTCAAATACCACAATATTCCAACTCCTCTTAATACCATATAAGAACATACAAAAGCAAACCATAAAAATGGCTCCATCAGCAACCTCCCCTGCTCCAGAAGAGACCACAGATGCCACTGTCCTCACCCTACGCAAAACCCTCTGCTCAGAGAGCTCTCCGCTCGCCCTACGTTTCCGCGCCCTCTTTTCTCTCAAACATCTCGCCTGCACTCCATCTTCCTCCATTATCCCCGCCATCGAAGCCATCGCCGCCGCATTCGCCTCTCCTTCCGCACTTTTGAAACATGAACTTGCGTATTGTTTGGGTCAGACGAGGAATATTGAGAGTTCGAAATATTTGAGACTGGTGTTGGAAGATCGCGAGGAAGATAGTATGGTGAGACATGAGGCTGCGGAGGCATTGGGTGCGTTGGGCGATAGGGACTGTTTGCAGTTGCTTAGGGAGAGGAGAGATGATGTTACTGAGCCGCCTGAGGTGAGCCAGACGTGTGAGTTGAGTGTTGAGAGGATTGAGTGGGAACATTCAGAGGCGGGGAAAGCAGAGAAGTTACGACAATCGTGAGTGGACTTTTTCTTTAACAAAACGAGCATATTGCGTTCAGCGGATAGGGCGATGCACCAATTTTTCACATGCAGCAGGAAGGTTTTGTCACGGAATGTGAGATTCTCTTCATCGCATTACTGACAACTCTTGCGATTATAGGGATTTCGCATCAATCGATCCAGCTCCACCAACTGCAGAAGCAAATTCAGAATCGCTATCAATCGAGAAACTAGAGAAAACCTTGCTGGATACCAAGACCCCTCTATTTATACGATACAGAGCAATGTTCGGTCTGCGAGATCTTGCATCACCCCCTGATCTTCTTACTGCCGTTCCTGCTATTCTTGCCTTGGCGAAAGGTCTCCATGATCCATCCGTACTCTTCAGACACGAAATTGCCTTTGTTTTCGGACAACTTTCTCACCCAGCGTCTATCCCTGCTCTTACTGGCTCCCTGAGCAATCTGGAGGAAGCGAGTATGGTCAGACATGAGGCAGCCGAGGCTTTGGGAAGCTTAGGTGATGAAGACGGTGTCGAGGATACACTAAAGAAATTCTTGGACGACCACGATGAGGTTGTGAGAGATAGTGTCATCGTTGCGTTGGATATGGCGGAGTTTGAGAAGAATGGGGAGACCGAGTATGCGTTCATCCCAGAAGAGGAGTATGTCGATACGATATAGTTGTTTCTATCCTCAAAAATATTGTCGTATGTATTTGATTTAAATAGACGGCTGGTGCCAAAGTGCTTGGGCCATTAATGTTACAATTTTTCCTTCCAAACACCAGATATAGAGTCCCAATGCGCCAACTGATATACAATTCGAGAACCGTGGAAGTAATACCTCCGTACGTCATGTGTCGCAACTCAATTATTCTCCGCCCATCTAGAATAAATCAGTATGGAAGAAACAATCGTACATTCATATCCAGAGATTGTAAGCTTACCTGTGACCACAAGCACAATTGTAGAAAATAGTACTTCCTTCATCTGCACTTCTGACTTGTACCGCCTTGAACATAACCTCCTGTGCGCCGCATTCTGGACATGGTGTTTTACTCATTGCTTGATTCTCATAATCAGCCTTCTCTACGGTTTGGACAACCGATCTCTTCTGTCGCAATACTGAGGGAAATGATTCTTCTTTCGTTCTTGTTGTGATGGTTTTCGAAGCAGTATCTAGAAGTAAGATTTGATCAGCGCCATTGACTCTAGTAATATGAAGGAAAGCAAATGCGCATACCTTTATTTTCTGCTCCACAACAATCGCATGTTAAAACGGCATTCTCGTTACCGGTAGAACTTTCCAATAGATTACCACAATCTGTGCAAAATACAAGAGATCCAACTGCAGACATTTTGAAGTTATGTTGATTGTGAGGTTTGAAGGTTTTGGTGTTTCCCGAAAATAAATTTCTACTCGAGTATTAATATGCAAGGCCGAAGCCGAAAGGGAAAAAAGTCGCGCTAGTGACAATCCATCCAATCCATCCAATCCAGCGCAAGGCTGCCTACAGACGGCTACTAATATATTCAAAGGTGAAATTATTTTAAGAGTTGCTTGTCGACAACTTTTGATATGTTTTTACGGAAGACGGATATGCATTACGGATAACGACTTGAGATTCTACAATAATATGCTCATGTAATTAATCCTATTGGACCTTTGATCTTCTTCAACAACTCTACGAGCCTTCGGCCTTGCGCCCACAACACACCAGACGGAATACCCTCACCATGGATTCAAACAATGGGTATGGCCACCACAATGGTCAAAATGGGTCAAACGGCGCGTTTTCTTTCAGAGAATCTCGTCAAATGAGGCCACGGCCATTCACTGTCGACGAAGCTCTCCCTTTTTCGCCTTTTTCCTCTGTTGTTCCCTTCAATTCTGGTATCTCTCACCTTTCCTTTCCTTTCACCTTTCACATATCCTCGAACCCCATTATCGATCTCACTAACAGAGTCAATTTGCAGATATTATTCCCTTACCTACCATAGGACTTGGTTCTTCCTCCTCCTTATTTCCCAACGCAGCAGAACGTCAACAGGGCAGAGAAAGTCTCGAAAGTTTGAACGCAGATGCGACAAATTCTTATCAAACCTCACAGCGTCTACAAAGAACTTTGCAAGACCTGGAAAAACTGCTAAAGCCAGGAGATCATACAGAATAGTAGGTTCAAATTGTAGCAAACAGCTCGATCTGACTAACATATAAAAAAAGCAACTTCAAGATCGGGCCAAAGGTCACATCACGCCCCGATCCTGCCCCGTTGAGACCAAATCTTTCGCCGTTTGCGCAAATGCTATACGACTCAACAAAGGTGGAATATAACACTGCGGAACGTCCAGAAGCACCGACTATGAGGCACAAAATACAGAAGCAGAGGACTAAGTCGCAAACGAAGTCAAGAACTCCGAGCAGCAGCTATGTGAATACAAATTTGCAGTTTCATACTGTGAATGCGAATGTGAATGCGAACGCTACCATATTTCCAGAAGCTCTTAATGCAAAGCCTGCTGTCGAGTATGCGAATATCACACCTAGACCAAAGACACAAATTGCGGTCGAAATTCCTTTGCCAAAGGCACCCACAGCTGCTCACAGACGAAGCCCAGTTCCTGCACCAAATTCACATGTCACAAAGATCAGTCCTCCACCATCGCATACTCAACCTCTGATTCCTCCTCCCATACGAGCTGCACCGGTCGCTATTCAAAGTAGTCAGCAGATCCAAAATCTTCCACCTTCCTCGTCACAACTGAGCATATCAGTCGTTATCCCTCAATCCCAAATACACCCAGAAGAGTACAAAGTTGTGGAAGCTCTTCCGGATTCGCCAGAAAGTCATGCCAGAAAACGAAAACGAGCAGGTTCTGATGAATATGAAGGAAATGTATCTGGGGTAATTGATCAAAGAGAGAAGGCCGAAATTGCCGCGCGAAATTTACGAGAATATCTCCAAGACATTTTTGATGCCGAAAATCAATTTCAACCAGATAGTGACATTTCTAGCAATTTCTTTATATCAACCAATGAGGGAATCGGTCTCGCGGCTAATCCTCAAATGAGACTCGAGGGCTTCCTGAATAGAATTATTGAGGTTGGCCGATTCAAACAGGTTCCGTCGGAAGATCTAATTCGCATACAAAAATTGTCTGAAGCTGCTTTGAAGGAGACTGAAACGCTCGACTTGAAGATTGACGAAGAAATGAGCGAATCGGATCTTGAAACATTATTTCTACAGATCGCCAATGCAGAACTTGGACTCAGATCTGCCCGCACCTCACTCAAAATTATGACCGGTGGGCGTGACGAAAAGCAACTGTACTCGGAAGATCTCATTCAATCCGCACTTAATGCCTTCAAGAATATCATGGAGGCTTTCATGATTCCGATTGTGGAGCTGCGTAGTACGGGATCGACTTCAACATTGTTCAAGCTATTATCTGCTCACAAGAAAGTTATTATTAATCTGCTGGCCCAATGTCGACGCCTTTTATCACTCATGGCAGTTCTGGTTGCTAACATAGATCTCTCCGAGACTGTCATCAACAGCCTTGAATTTGCAGCTTCAAAATTGATATTTGTCGAGAATGCTCACGCTGAAAAGGACTCAATACTTGGTATCTCCAAATTCGATAATCTACGTGTAGTGGCAATGGACGTACTTGCGCAAGTGTTTAACAACAACCCAAAAGAAAGAGCCGAGATTTTCAATGAGATTCTGACGTCGTTGGAGAAGCTTCCTGTGTCTAAACAAAGTGCTCGTCAATTTAAATTGGCCGACGGTGGGAGCATTCAACTTGTCTCGGCACTAATCATGAAGTTGATTCAAACAAGCGCCAGCAAGACGGACGATGCGAAAGAAAAACGAAGACTGAAGGCTCAGGGCGCTGTTAACGGGGATGACGAGAGCCAAGAGGATGGAAGTAACGGTGCCGATAGTCGTCGGCGATACGATACCGAAAGGCGTGCAATCGAACAGAATGTCACAGCAATTCAAGAACTCAAGGACTGCGGGGCCTCATTACTCGAAAGCGCGACACAAAACACAGGATATGTGGTTAACTTCATTGTCAGTAGAGCGATCAAATCTACGAAAAATGGCGATACACCATATCGGAATCTCCTGGATCTCTTTGTCGAGGACTTCATTACATGTTTGAATTCCACTGACTGGCCTGCCGCCGAGTTACTTTTACGCCTCTTCTTGTTCAAAATGGTTCAACTCGCTGAAGCAGACAAAACCCCTGCTCCTGCCAAGAACATGGCTCTCGATTTACTGGGATCGATGGGCGCAGCAATTTCGGAACTGCACTCTCATGTTCGAAAGACTGCTGCTTCACTTGAGAATCGAGATGGCCGCATGGGACAAGCTCTTTCAAGGATGGTTGAGGAATCGCTAAAGAACGAAGCAAGTGATCACGAGATTTTGGCATGGGGTGGGCCTTACTATATGTGTCTAGATTTCATGGAAGACCGTTGCTTTACCGATCCTCAACTAGCAAGCAGCATTTCTCTTCTGATTGTCGAATGGGCCTCAAAGTTGTCGATTGCATATGACGAGATCCGTGATGACGAACCTGATAATGAACGCATTGAGGAGAAATATGGCAAAGTGGCATACCGATTGAGGATGATGATCGCCGATAAGAGATGGTTTTCTACAGAGCATGGTTACGGCTCAGTTGACCCTAGCCACGCCCGTTTGGCCTACTCTTTGACGTTATTGCATTCGACTTTTTGCAAATCCTTCGGTCGTGTGCTTGATATCTTGCTTCGATCAATGTTTAGTGAACAAGCTACCGTCAGAAGTAAGAGTTTAAAAAGTGTTAATCAGGTTCTGGAAACTGATCCAACCATTCTTGACCGAGAGCCTACCGCTAAGCAAATGATCTTGAGATGCTCAAACGATCCTTCGGTTGGCGTGAGAGATTCGGCCTTGGGTCTCATTGGAAAATGTATCTCATTGAGACCAGCTCTCGAGATGGAGATGACACCCAGTATTCTCCACCGTATCAACGATAGTGGAGTTGGTGTTCGAAAGCGAGCTATGAAACTTTTGAAAGACATCTACCTGAACAACACCAACAAGGATGTTCGGGCTTCGATCGCTGATGCCATCTTACACAGAGTCACTGATCTTGATGATGGTGTCCAGGAATTGGCGCGGTCGACAATCGAGGAAGTCTGGATGTTGCCTTTTTACAAATTAACGGGATCAGAAGATACATCAGTCCAAGCAAAACTTGCTATTTCAGACCACGTTACCTTGATCATCAAGACAGCTCAACGACAGAACGGGACCTCGAGTGTTTTGGACAAAGTGCTCCAGAACCTGCTTTCACCAAAATCGAAATATCCCGACGCCAATTGTAAGGTCTGTAAGGCGCTTGTTGCGGCTATGTTCGAAACCATCATTGATAATCCAGCTTCCGAGGGCTCCGATGCACCAAATGCTCGGGATGCTTTGGAAGTGCTCACCATATTTGCCAAGTCCAATCCGAATCTATTCACCGCCGATCAGATTCAATTATTGCAGCCATATGTTTCAAATGTTGGCAGTAGTGACGAGGCAGCCGTTTATCGTTCAGTTGTTGTCATATTCCGCTATGTTCTTCCTAGTTTACCCAAAGTTCAACATGGTTTTCTCACCACGATTAGAAAGGATCTCTTGCCAACTATGACACGCAGTCCCAAATCTATCTTGGACGATATCGTTGCGTGTTTATGGATCATCAGTAGTGTTCTTGAAGATTTTCATAACTTGACGAGAGTGGTGTTGTCTAGTTTGGCTGGTATTCAGAAGTTGAAAAACATTGACTTGAATGATCCGAAGCGAGCTGACTTGGTAAAGAAATTGACAAAGCTTCTACTTATCTGCGGTATGTGTGGCAAGCATTGTGATCTTGATCCTCAGCATCAGGTTTTCAAAGAGAAGGAATTCCCGAACATGAAAGGTACTTCGGTTTCGAAATTGATGGTCGATACATTTGCTCCTTTTGCAACACCATCTCAACCCATGGAAGTTAGGAAGCATGCCCTTGATGCAATGGGTATGGTTTGTCAATCTTGGCCAAAGAACTTTTCTGCTGTCAATGTTTATACCTCCTTTATCCAAGCATTCAGTGATCAGGATTTGGAACTCGAGACAATCGTCATGAGAGCCTTCAAAGAATATCTTTCGATTGAAGAAAAGCGATCTGAGGAAAGTGGCGATGGCGCTGTTGGCACCGGTACAGATTCCAAAGCAAAATTGGGCGTCATGGGCGGCAGCCAAGGTGACGGTGTTGCTTTGGACATTGTGCAGAGATTCTTGAAGGACATTGCCCGCATTGCACTTGCTAGTCAAGACAAAGAAGCACTCCTTGCGGCTGAAGTTGTGGCTAGCATCAACAGACAAGGTCTTGTTCATCCCAAGGAGACTGCTTGTACTCTCATCGCTCTTGAAACTTCACCTACAAGTAAGATTGCCGATATTGCCTTCCGGGAGCATAAGGCCCTTCACGAGAAGCATGAAACTATTCTTGAAAAGGAATATATGCGAGCAGTACTCGCTGCATACGCATATCAGAGAGATGTCGTCAAGGATACACATGGAGCTACACTAAATCCTTTCACTTCGAAGCTTTGGATGATGATTGAAGTTCTGAAGATCAGCAAAGTCAAAAACCGAAAGAAGTTGTTTGATAGCTTATGCTCTAGAATTACTTTTGACCCCGCAAAACTCGACACTATTGAGGATCTGCCACATCATCTGGATTTTGCACAGTTCATCATCGAGAATTTAGCTTTCTTCGAATACCAAACTGTCGATGAACTATTGTCTACTATTAATTCCATGGAAAAATTAGTGGCGGCTACGGGTACTGGTATTGCTCATGCAATTGAGACAGAGATTCTTCATATCAGTCTCGATCAACCAGTAAATGAAACCCACGCCAATGGCCACGTTCATCCCGAAAAACCAAAACGAGATTTGATGCGCCTACAGCAACTCACTGCAATCTCAATCATGCTCACAAACTTATGGGAGGCTCGAACATATCTTCGTCGACAATTTGGATTGATGAACAGAGACGGAAAAGTCAAAGGCGCAACTAAAGATCTCAACCGAGCTCCAGTAAAAGTCCCAAGCGTTACTGGAGATAAATTCTGGGGTGAGGTCTGTGGTAGGATGATTAGCTACGAGTCCGAGGAGAACATGGAAGAGCAGTGTCGAGCATTCGTGGAACTACTTAATGTAGATCACGATTTCAAGGTCTCGGCGGAAAATGACGAGGTCGATGAGAGAGCGAGGATGAGTACACCAAGTGACGATGAAGATGGCACACCAGGTCCTCCGGGTGGCAGTGGAAGAGGCCGCAAGAGAAAGGCGGTTACCAATGGAGCTGCTGCGGGAAGCCGAAAGAAGAGAGCTAGATCTAGTTCTGTTCCTAGGGGAAGAGGTAGACCGAAGGGAGCAAGTTCCGGTTCCGCTTCCGGGAAAAGAGCTTCGGTCGAGCGCAACGATGATGATGGCGAATGGGAATAAATAAGTCGGGTTCAACTATATCCATATGGTTTTGAAGTGGGTTGGGTTGGCTGGTGGCGTTTGCTTGGTTGCCAAAGTGACACTGACGGGTCTGGGACGTGGAGGAAAGGGAAAACATATTTTTTATCATTCGAGATACCTCGACATTCATCCTACGGAATGAATGTTACTTATTTACAGGATTTAGTCGGCTGGGATGGAATGGATGGAATGGAATGGAATAATGAATCAGGAAGTGCTACTACCCAAAAAATGTGTATGGGGAATATAGGTATGGGTTGGGTTAGTTACCCGGTGTGTCAAAATGGCTCAACATCTTAGCTAGAGCTGAGTGCTGAGCTGGTCTGGTCTGGTCTGGCTTGGCTTGGCTTGGTCATTAGTATCAATTAGATATCTTTCATTGATCAATCATATCATACAATAGTTAAATACATAAATAAATAAATAGTATTAATACAAGAAAATATTCATGAATTCATATTGACGGTGGAGGAATTGGAATTGAATTAACTCAGGGGGGTTGAATGCTTTATGGAATGAATAAATTGGAGATAAAGGTTTGAGGAGATCTGGGATTGGGTTTGTGGATATATATTATGTGACTCTTGGGGTTTGGATGGTGGAGGATGGTGGATGATGGAGGATAGGGGATGGATAGGGGATGCACAATCATGCTAAATTGATCCATATACCGATATCGTATCGTATCGTATTGTAATAAGGAGAAGAGAAGAGAAGGTAGACGATGCAAATTAGTTAACTTATAGTAATTCGGTGCAGTGCAGTACTATCCTACATCTACAACCACTACTGGCACTCGAGTACAATACATTATATTAAAAGCCCGTTTGGCGTTTAGTTGATAGTGTTGATTAATATTAATATAGAACAAAATGATCTACAAATTCGTATTTATTTCATAAATCATTGTTTGGTATCTAGTTGATAGAATATCATCCTATTCAGGCTACTATTTCGAATTCAAACATAGTAATGATAGAATATTTTCATTACCAAAATTCGTATTAACAAAGATTTATTAAAATTCAATTCAAAAGATAGTTTTGCCTCTCTGATAATACTTAATTTAGTTAATCCAGCTTTTGAACCTAGCTTTTGAACTAAATGAACCTGGCTTGAACTTTCGAAGTTTCTAATTGAAATGAATGATTTGGAAAGGTTTTCAACTTCACTTGATAATAATATCATTAATAATAATAATTCATTTTCAAAACTTGATAACCAAATAATACAGATAATTAGCTTTCGAATGATATCATTTTTATTTAATTCTAATGAATATTAAGATTAATATTATTCTAAATCCTTTATTTTCGATGATTAAGCGAATAGCCTCATTTTTGAGGTTACACAATGATTTCAACTCATTTTCACAGCAATTTCTCGAGAATTTTCATTCAAATTTCATTCAAAATCTGGACACCGAATAGATACCCCTTTATCAACATAAGCCTGGACTAGCATATTTAACATACCTTTCATCGTGTTGATGAATTTGCATGCCTACACACAATATATAATTCAGACTAGCAAATCCATTATCATTCTGAATGATTCATCAACACCATCGACTGGACGCCGAACGGACTCTAAGTTAACTTGTACTGTCTAATATTCGAAGTAGATAATCGTGGGTAGCATGAGTGCCATCATATTGAGCTATAGTGGGGCCACCCACGATTATGTTTTGGAATACAAATAGTAGACTAGGGTATAGGGTATGATTTCTGGAGATGGGAATGAAGATGGGGAATGAAGATGTATAATGTTTTGGAGTATGAGTATGAGTACGAGTAGATGGTTAGGGTTTGAGTGTTTGAATGTTCTGAATAGGGTGGGTTTGGTGAGGGTATTCGAGACTCGACTCTCGAGACAAGTTGATTTGAAAGAGGGGGTTCCAGGGGGACGGGATGGAAAGGGCCTTTATCGGTAAGCCTTAGATTCAAAAGATACTAGGTAGATATTATTGCACATTGCACAGACTCGGATCAAGAATTAGTTATCTAGGATCTACCGTGTGGTGGGTATCGGTATATACCGATACCATTCTATGACGTTGAGTCATGGGTCTGTAGTATGGGTTAGGCTGTGCTGATAGATCTCGAATATTTTTTTGAAGGTTCTTCGGTTTTAAGATTGATGTTGGCTATAAATATTGAGATTAAGATTATATTCTGGGGATGTTCCTTGAATAGATGAGCTCATGCTCAGTCACGTGCTTATCAGTCTAGCTCAATTTGGATTGGTTTTAGGCCTAAACGAAAGATATTCATCAAGGGGTTCAGTATATCTCCTCTTTTTTTCTTCTAACACAAATCATTTTGGAGCTTCTACATGGTATCTTGTTAATGTATTTCTATGGAATCGCTGTTTGATGTATGCTATGATATACAAGATTTTGTCGGCGATGCCTTCCATTGTTTTGGTGTTTTGGATTTACGGTTTGATGTGGTCTACCCCATTCGTCGATATGTCCCACCAGTCGATATCGACGAATAAGGTAGTCCCATCAGTCAATATCGACGGGATAGATGACTATAACCGAATGCGCTGTCCCATCGGTTGAATGGGACATATACGCAAAACTTGAAATTTAATATTGACGAATGGGACAATCCCATTTGTCGATATCGATTAGTATTTGTATTATTTGAGGAATATATAATATAATTCAAAATTGTATATAAAATATAGAAAGACAATTCTATTAGTCGATATTGATGAATGGGATTATCCTATTTGTTGATATCAATTTTAAAATTTGTGTATACGTCTTATTAAATCGATGGGACGGTCTATTCGGGTAAGGGTTCCATCTCATCGATATCGACGAATAGGGTGGTCCCATTGATCGATGGAATACATCGATGAATGGGGTAGACCAGATGATGGATGGATAAAGAATTGATTGTCAGTTGTGTCAGTTGTTAGGTCAACGCGTCGGGTCGGTAGTGGCCCGTTTTCTTTCCGTTTTCGGTTGGCTATAGATGGGAAAGTGGGAGGCTGATGTGTGAAACTCTGATTTATGAGTCTAACTAGTGAGGGACTTCGGTGATAACGGGAAACTCCCATTCAACAGGAGTCCAGCAAACCGGCATGAATTTTGGTCTCGGTATTTGTGATCGACGGATCAACTACTAGGATGAGCTATGACTTTGATGCACTGGTAATTCACCATTTCATTGGATATCTAGTGCCAGATGTGCGGCGATTGAACCTTGGCGTCGGAGCTTACAAGTGAAGCTTATACGTTTGTGTAGACTCTGTAGAGAGTCCCGAATAAAACAGTGTTTAGCTTCAGGTTGTCTTTGCGACGGGCAGACGCTTCGTAAAACAATCATAATTTTCTGCATTATGTTTATGAAGACCGTAAGTACGGATCATAATGGCCGTGCCTCAATAATTCGAGTTTGATTCCATTGCCCAGCCAAAGCTCTAGACCTTCAATATGCAAGACTTAATCTAATTATCGCATGAACCATGGCGAGCATGGTTAACATCACAGCCCTATCCCTTCACGGATACTGGTACCCCAATACCAGAATGCTGGTTGTGGTATGTGAATGAAAGTGGAGTCAACCATTGAGAGATCTTCAAATTTTAAAAAAAATACCAGATATTGATTACTCGATCAGGAAATCAATTTGAAGATTGGTACGGATGCACAGTCTTCCACTCCCCAAAAAAGAAGTGGAATCATTTTGAGCTAAACTTAAACTGGTAGATCATGTACTCTACATTACATAGACCTCTGCATCCCATGATAATTGATACCTTGAACGACTACGACAAGCCCATCAAGTCATGGAAGGCCGTCAAATACAAATTGTTACTTTGGTGACTCTAGGTTTGGTTCTTACATGGACAACTGTTGGGTTGAGATGTTACACAAGGATATTTTTATCTAGGACTTTTGGGAGTGATGATTATTGGATGCTTCTTGCGTTGGTGTGTTCATTTGAGTATACTGATGGTATTTTAATATTTCAAGCAAATCGTGGCTAACCAAACTTGCAGGCTGGGTATACTATCACATCAGGTATTGGATTCGTTAGTGTTCATTATGGAGTTGGGGTGCACGCCAATAAACTGAGTTTTGATGATTTAATCGCCGGTTTAAAGGTAAATATCATGACTTGCTCCATGTTGGGTTTCAATGAATAAAACGATATTAACAAATTCAGTACCAAGTTATCCTTGAACTCAGCTACATTCTTGTTGCGGCCATATTAAAAACGAGCGTCGGACTCCTCTTACTTCGCATCACCTCTGTCAAACCATTCTACAAATACCTTGTCTGGGCCAGTCTTATTATAATCTGGTTGTGGTCCATCATAACGTTCATCGTAGGATGTTTACAGTGCAGACCATTAGAAGCGACATGGAACCCATTGGTCACAGGAACATGTATCGACCCTCGCATCATGACGAGTTTCGCATATGCTATTTCGGCCGAGACAATTTTCTTTGATTGGCTTTTTGCGCTCTTGCCAATACCGATGTTGTGGAATCTCAAAATGTCTTTTCGGTTGAAAGTCTCAATTGTGGGTATCCTAGGTTTGGGAATAATGTAAGGAAACAGTAAATCGTATTTGAGTTCCAGGAGCTAACGATGAGGATTTTCTCTTGATAGTGCAAGTTCGGCTACAATTGTTCGTTTCAAGTTTCTGATAGCTTTTTCGAATCACACAGATACGTTATGTAAGTTGATTCTTGCTGGCAATTGCATTAAAAGTAGCACTGCGGTTTTATAATTGTTTCTTCGACTAATCCATCATCTCCCAACAAAGATTCTATAGCTCCAGTTCTCCTTTGGTCCACGATCGAGCTCGCCCTAGGCATAACTGCCGCATCAATCGCGACTCTTCGTCCCCTCCTCCGCCGCTGGCGCATTTGCGGTTTCACCAGCGATCCCAGTTTAAGTTTTGGATCTCCTGGGGGCCCACGATCGGGGAGAGAATATAAGAAAAGTCCCTTTAACCCGAGTGATCCGGATGCGAGCCATATTTCGAATGGTCTGCATGATCCGCCGGACCAAACACGGTTTTCGAATTTACAGAAGATACCGACTTTGAGTGGGAGGAGTGAGGAGGGAATTTTGGGGGGAGGCGATGAAATTCATGGTGGGAATGGAAGTGCAAATGGGGCGGGGAATGAAAGTATAGGGGAATGGGGCAATGAAGAGTATGAATTGGTTTCCAGGCCGGATGGGAAAATCATGACGAGGACGGAAATTCAAATAGAGTTTGATGAGAGGAATAGTTACACGGGCAAGGATATGGTATGATATATGTGCGAATCAGTGCAATTTGCATATGAATGAATCAGCATGATGGGAAGAATAGGGGTGGGGATTTAAGAATGGCGTTGGTGGGAACTGGATTGGATTGGATGGGAGGTTATTGGTCTGATTATACTCGTATATGGGTCCAAGAGGACTTGACAATATACCCTAGAGAGTATTTCATATACTAGATATGGTTATGTTTTGGTTTATGTGATGTTATGTGATGTAATCTATATATTTGAAACTTCAACCCCTTGGTTCCGCCCTTTTACTCATTCCTACGATCCTGCTAGTGAAGTTAGCAAAACTTTCTCCTCTTCTCGAGTCCTTGCAGCTGATACTATATTAATACTAATATCAATCGCAATGAAATTATGTTATATTATATTATCAAATATACTATACGCATCACTAGCAACTCAACGTATAGCTCTTATAGCTCTTATTATGATGTATGAAAGAAATGAAGAAGATATCTGAACTTCGAACTTCAAACTTCGGAATTCGATTGATACACTCGAGTACTAAGATGAGATGAGATGAGATGAGATAAGATGAGATAATACAGCCTCATTAATACACCTTCCTTCATCATCGCATCGCACTCTGACCATCGCACCCTTGTCGTGATGCAATGTCGTGTCGTCGCTAACCCTTATTTAATCGCTTATTTCAAAGTTTTCAAACGATTAATTCGAGTATTTTTTATTGGCTCGTAGAAATCGAATAAAAATAAGCTTTCGCTAGCTTGTTTTTTATTTTCGGTGGGTGTTGGAATACTGTGACTTGAATTCAAGTTGGAGAGACTCGGAGAGAAAAGAAAAAGTTGTTTAATTAAGTGAAAATGACTTGGTAGATGGTAGGGAGTTGGAATTATTTATGTTGATATACTAGGTGATAGATAGTATACTGGAATCGTTTAAATTTCAAATTGAAGTTCATCGACTACTATTGAGTAGGTAATTGGAAAAGTATGGAAATAATTGAAAAGGGTTTGGACTTGAAAAGTTGGAAGATATAAAATGTATTAAACCGATTAAGCTATATTCCGAGTTCAACTGAAAGACTTTTTAACACTATATAAATTAGGATTAAATCTTTTTGCTTTTAGAATTTAAATCTCACTGGCAATACACCATTTGGTCTATTGCGATAAATCTTTCAAGCCGATGATTCCATCATAATGTATACGAAGAATAAGTTTGTATCAAGTAACCGTAGAGATTGAGAACTGCTTGTTTTGTTATAGTATTGAGTACAAATGGTTGTGAGTGTAGCTAGGAGGATTTTGAGAGTAATTGTAGAATATTATTTGGGTATTACGCAATTGAAGATGAGCGGTATACCAAAAAAATGCATTAACTAACAACTGTTACATCGTTAAAAGGCATGAGGAAGTTTTCCGATTTATTTCCGGAAACTGTTCAATGAAATAGTCGTCATAATAGCTGTAAGTTATATCTTTGCTACTCGTGTATAACATACGTGGTTCACTTCTTGGACAGCGAGAATACACTGATGTATAATGTGATAGACCGAGTCAGTCATGGCTTTGGGAAGCGAAAGCATATGAGTGTTACTAGTTCTACCACTAGTCCCCAGAACCTTGGATTACGAAAATACACACGGAGCTATTTGATGAGGGGTAATATTACGTCTCAGCATTTCTCGACAATTAATGCCCCCTAGTAAAGACATAACTAGAGAGGAGTCTCTTAATAAAGTGTTATATTGTGATTCTTTGGAAGGTCTTGACTCTTGGATGCTCTATATATATTATATACATTCGTATAGATTACAGTGTCGTTAGGTGGGATAGTAGCTAGAGCACTTGACTAGTCATCTGGTGTAGTAGTGATAGACAAGTTACAATAATATTAGAGGTTCAAACTTGCGCGTTGCGCATTCCTGTGTATATAATAGTAAAATAATAATCGATTTGATCTGTTTAAGCTATATAATAATTAACCTGACCATGCGATGATTCCATTAATATACTATACAACCCTGTCATACATACATGAATATATACATAATATAATGATGAAATGAATAACCTGAGTTCAGATTTAATAAAACTTTTGGTTGGATCTTGGTGCATTCCAAGCTAGCTCATCCCCCTTTAGCTAACTCGGTTAGTTATCCTAGATCCCCTACTCCTTTTTTTACTAGCAATCTACTTCGCCACCTGGTCTTTTGAGCTTTTGAGTACTCCCTAGCTCATATTAGCATTTAGAGGTCTTTTCGATTTTCATTTTTTGACTAGTGAATGAAATTTGTGTAGAATACTGGCTCCATGTTGAGGGCAAATCGTTACAGGTTACGAAGCATCTATTCGTGTATTACAGAGCGATTTTGAACAAGTATAAAAAAGCAATTGAATATAATATACGATATGAAAGTTTATGAAAGAATCACACTCCTTTTAGATAGAAACTATGGTTAATTAGGCATCAACCCAACTAGTAAATTTTAGATTGGTAGTAGCTTCTCACTACTGTATTATAGTAGTATCTTCCATCGTTCCGGCTTTGATTTTTGTCATTTAAACAGTTACTACATACTTTCAGATATGTCTCAAACTCATATCCAGCAGAGTAGACCGTTATCATATTTCCCTTCCCTCTCTAACTACCAGTCTTTCCTCACTTGTCTGAAAAATCAATAAATGTAGCTCCGCAACATATCCACTGACATCCACTCGAATCCCACTTACGTAATACCCACTCAGTCTCTTCCGAATTTTACCCCACTTTTACATTTTTTCCCCTTTGATTCACAACTCCCCTCAGAATTTTTCTATATATCTTTCTTTGACCATGGTTCTTTCGTCAAAAACGGGCTTGTGGTTTAGTGGTATAATGTTCCTTTAGCATAGGAGAGGTCCGGCGTTCGATTCGCCGCTAGTCCATCAGATAATGAGTGATTAATTCACTCAGAAACCTTTTGCGTTTCTCATATATTTTGCTATAGTTTTCTTTTTCTACTTTTTGGATATTGTAAAGACTCGATCAAGCAAGGACTGACTACCCTAGAATGCTTTTTTATTCAAACGTTTCCGTCAGCGTTCTATAAAGTCGTCGGCGTATGTGAAGTTCCCTAAAATTCTCTATGTCTTCTTGATCTAAGTTACATCGAAGGCTTAATTAACTGGGTATATCCAATCTAGTAACCCGACGGTACCATTAATGAAGGCTTAATGAAGGCAAGCCAATATAGAGATTAGGGGTATCATTATCTAGACCTGCATTAAGAGTTTGAAAGGCTCAAGTTGGTGTAGACAATATACCTTCTCCCCTCCCTCCCTACGAACCCTTTGGGAGTGACTAGATAGGCGATAAAACTCCATCCTACTATGTTAGTGTGGAAATGCATCTTGTATAGATATTAGTGTCTACTCTATATTATCAATTTGCAACAGTCTTCTAGCTATTCATCGAAATTCTTTTCTTTTTGTTGTCTGCAATGGCTAGTGCCTATGTATCAATGATTTTGAGTATCATTGTATTGTTTGATAATATAATTTACATAGAACCTGACAAGTTCTCGCATTGATAATATCAAATTTCTCAACTCACGTAGTGAAAATAATTGACATACTCTCTCTATATACATTGTACGGAGAATTTTTCCAAATTCATATCATGTTCTATTAGTTTTACATGACTAGAAAATGAACATTGTATATAACAAAGACATCAATCAAATACTCGAGTACTTTTACGAAAACAAATGCGGAAACAAAAGTCATTTCTTCTTTGTTTTGTTATAAAGTTGCATTGAGAATCTTAGGATCAACAAAGATTATACTTGTGTTCGACTCTTCTTTCAGGAATATGGCCAAAAACTCCTTCTACATTACCATCTCTAATGTTTTGGCTAGATGGTAACTTTAGTGAGGGAAGAAATATTAAATCAACATCCAGTTCGAATGTCCTGCATGATAAATCATTTTCGTACCTACTTTGATTACTTCTACGCGTGGAACAGGAGTAGCTCATCACTCAATACTTTGATTGCAACATCCATCCCAAATATCACAAACATCACATCCACTCCACACAATCACATCCCACGAATTAAAAGCTCAAACCCCCGGCAATACACACCCTTCTCTACACTCCTCCCCCTCATTTCCCACAATGACCACAACGTCAAAACCCAACGTTAAATCCAAACTTAGCGCCGCCGATATCGAGCAAGCAGAAACCCGTTTAGTAAACTACCACCACTCTCTCGCCGCCAATCCCAAAACCCTCCGCGTAAATAGATGGCGTCCCGATCCGGATATTGATCAGGACACTCAGATTTTCGAGGGGGTTCTTGGTGCGGGGGGTTTTGGAACTGTTTGTATGTATTCTTTGATTTTTGTATCGTTCTTCTATGGCGAGATTTGGTTTTGAAGTTATGTATTCGAGCTCGCTACCCCCTTTTAATTACTCGATGGCATAATATGATGATCCATGTACTGACTATGTGATGAGATCTCGTGCGCAACCCCAAAAACGATACCCATTATGCATTAAAGATCCAAACCGAATCGCTCGACGCGCGCATCTCTCGGCAAAAACGCGAGGCTCCGCCTCCCCCCCGCCCAGCAGATTACAATCCCCTTGCCTACACTCCCCCTATAACCCCCTCCGAAGCCACCATCCACTCTCCATCCCAAATTGCCACGCGCAACCTCTTCGCCAAACGCTATCGCGAAAACCGCACGTATCTCCGATACATCAAATCCGGACATCCCAACATTTGCGCGCTAGAAGCCTTCCTGGATTTCACATCTGAAGTTGGGGATCCTGGAGATCAGGGCTTGGTTATGTTTGCAAGTTATTACGAGTACTGCGATGGAGGAGATCTGGCAGGGGTCATTGATCGATATACGGCTGGGCATCGAAGACGCGATGCCCTTATGGAGGCAAATGTGAAACTTGATTTGAGAAATCAGGGAAAGCAGTGGAGAGGCGAACCACCTGATGAGTTGGAAAAGATTCCTAAAGGAAGACATCCTCCCGAGTTGTTTATCTGGCATATCTACTCGCAGTTGATTGGTGCGGTTGCGTTTTTGCATAATGAACATCCGGATTATAAAGATAAGGTAGAACATAAAGATCGCGCGATGGTAATAACGGCGGATTTGGCACCAGCAAATGTATTTTTGAAGTGGCCTCCGGGAAAAGATAGGAGGAGATGTTATCCGGATGTTAAGGTTGGGGATTTTGGGGGTGCGAACTTTTTGCCGGCAGGAGGGGGGTTGGAGCTGGGTGAGGAGAAAACGGATTTTGTGTGGGGGGATCCGCCAGAGGACGATATTTATGATGGGAAGACGGATGTTTGGTGCGTGGGGGTCATGATGTATATGTTAGGGGCCCGGGGTAAAATGTGTGAGTTTCTGGAAGCAGGGGTTGATGAGGATGGGAATAAGAAAGGGGAGAGCGTGGAGAAAAAACGAGAGAGGGAACAAAGGCAGAAGAAGAATAAAGATAGGGTGGGACATCTGGAGGGGTTGTATAGTTTGTTTTTGGACAAGGCCGTTAGGTTTGCGTTGACATTGGACAGGGATAAGAGACCGACTTCGGGGAAGATGTGTAAGCACGTCGAAATATCGTATTTGCAACGCCAACCACTTATGTTTAGAGCATTACCTGCATGGATTCAACTTGGAGGGAATGTTCTCAAGCATAAATTTCCTCCAGACAGAGTTTCGGATTTATTAAAGGGAAAATGGGAAGAGGAACATGAATTGGCGGAAAAGGAGGCGGAGATTGAAGAAGAAATGCAGGATAGAGAAGATGCATTGATGTGGATTACGAAGGATAGGAAGTTGAGGTTTGGGATTGAATTAGATGAAGAGGAGGAGGGTGATGATGAAATTCATGCGCAGTGGTTAGAGGAGTTGATTAAGGAAAAGCCGGACTTTTATAAGGAGCTTTTAGAGGAAGCAAGAGCTAATTTGCCGAGTTCTTAAGTCAGTGGTAGTTGAAAGAACTATATAAAAACGAAGTTGGCGTGAGAGGATAGTTTAATTATGTAGGACCGTTGAACACAATGTAAACTTTCATCTCATGGTCCATGTGTATGATTAAGATTTAGCCAAAAGTATTGGTGACTCAGTGATTAAGTTCATATGAGATATAAAAGAATAAGTATTGTTCCTACTTCAAGATGTCAATTTATAGGTAAGAAATTATAGTTGTCTCCATGACTTCTTTAGGCTCTATAAAGAAAACTTCGTAATTAGCACCATTTTTAAAGATAAAAAGGAAAGTATAAGGGCATTTTGACCGAGAATATAATTAGAGATATTGGGGTTTGTTATTGATTATCGAGAGATTTATTATATATTAGAAGAAAAGCTCCGAAGAACCGATCATATGAGCAGTAGCTTTGAGTATTCTGAATTTGTTGAATCCACGACGATCTAATTCTTCAAACTAATGATCTCTCTGCCGTCAAGGAGTACTAATTCTAATTCGCGCTATTAGTCCAAAATCTAAATCAAGGCTGGTTCAAGTGACGGCTTCGATGCGGCGGGATGACGAAGTAGATCCCCTTATCTGCGCCGCAAAACAGTGAAAAATAGATATCTAGACACTAGAGGTGCCCTTCATAGATCCAAATCCAAAAGTAGCAAAAAGATCCAAAAAAGTCAAAAACATACAACAGTGGGGATTCGCTGGTGGTCACCCACCCAACTACTAATCCACCGATCTGAAGCTTGTGTATGGCAGAGCGGACGGGATGCCCAATTCTCTTCAGTCTATGGTCGTATGTGACGGAAAGTGGCTGTTTAGAGAATATATTGGAATCGTGTTGATTGAGGGGGGGGGGGAGAGGGGGTGTATGTTGAAATCTTTAAGCGATACCCGAGTAGAACGAAAATAATTTGTTATGTTCATGATTAATGGGATTTATTTTCAGTATTATATCCTTCGATACTGTACTTGTAATAGTGGTTTGTGAGGTTTCTAATTATATATAGTTGTGAGATCTCTCAATTGCTTTTGCTCTGAAACTTGCACTCTTTCGACGAAATGGATAGAATTCTTTTAGTTCTTTTAGAACTAGCGAACTTAATTACCCCATTCACCTTCCAGTGATCTATTGAGGCCAATCAATTCAATTTTAGTTGCGCACTTGCATATCAAGGCATTATTTCGGAACCGAGAATTCTTGAATCTACTAGAGACATCTCTAAATACTAAATAGTGAATGAATTTGTGTTCAGATAACAATGCGGAAGCGAGTATTAGGCATGCGCGTGAAAGACAGGACTTGGAATTTCGGGACCGCTGCTGAGTGTGTAGATGATGGTTTTGATTGCGAATAGTGTATACTGTACAGATTGATGACTTGATTATGTTATGTTATGCAGACCGATTATAGAAAGAATATTTTTGAACCATCGAAGCTTGCAATCAAGTCCGAAACTTGAGTTTGAGTTTGAGAGACATGAAACTTCTGCCTGCCTGCTGTTAGCCGTTAGATTACGAAATCATTTTAGAGGGAATCAAATCGAAGATTATAGACAGTCCTTGAGTCCTCGACAAATTCGTCTAAATGAAACTTGTGATGTAGGACTCGATATATAATAACTCTCACGGAGTAAACCGAACCTTTCAAACTATCCACAAGCATCTCAACAACAATCACAACAAATAACAGCAAAAGCAAGATGAGTCGTCAAACTTTAACAACCAAGTCAACATCCAAATCATCCACTCTCTCTCTCCCGAGTCTCCCCCTCACAATCTTCTCCCTTCCTCTCACATCTTACAACATTCCCCTAACAAAACACATCCTCTCAATCTTCTATCAACAAAGCACCTTCAAGAAACGCGAATCACGCACCAGTCTCTTACAAAAACTAGCTAGGATCGAGGCCACCCGAACAGATAATGAAAGAGAGACTGTATCTCAGCTTCTTCGTCATGATATCACCATTACTAGAGCTGCTATAAAAGCGGGTCCGCAAGATGAAGATGAGGACGGCCAACTTTTAGAGAAAGGAAAGGATACGGAATGTGAAGTTTGTCTGGAGGCTTTGCCTGCTCGGAGTTTTCGACATCAAATGGTTGAAAGCAAATGCGAGCATGAGACACATATCTGTACACCTTGTCTGGATCAAGCCGTTATAGCGAATGTGAGAAATAATCCATGGGACCATATACCTTGTCCATTTTCCGGATGCAAAAGAATGTTAGAGCCGGATATGATCAGAAAGCATATTCGAGGGGAGTTACTTGAGAAGTATAAATTCCTCAAATATACAATCATTTAGATAGCTAATGATAGAGCAGTTATGACAACTACATCAGCACTTTTCAAATTCGCAACCTACCGAGCTTTCGCTGGTGTTTGAACGTCGAATGTCGCGCTGGTCAAGTCCACGATGGGGTCTGGTCGCCACGGAAAGGCTGGAGGGTTATATGCCATGCCTGTAAATCAGAGAGCTGCTTTCTACATCAATTCCCTCAAGGTGAAGGAAAAAACTGCAAAGTCTGTGATGGCGTTGAAAAAGAATCACTCGCAAAACCCTCTGATGACAGGAAACCATGTTCAAGATGTAATGTACTGACTGAAATGGTACCAGTTGTATGTGCAAGGGGGTATTGTAAGTACCAAGTTATCTTCAAGCCTGTGAAGTGCATTTTATATTTACTAATTCTTGTTCCCACGTAGGCCGTTGTGGATATTATTGGGAGAATTTCAGAAAATCTCGTTGATATAAATTCACGGTATATTAGACATAAGCATTTCTCGATGCAGCAAAGAAGAGATGTACGTTACCGTCTATTAGTGTAACCATCAAACCTTCCGCATTTGCGCACACTTGCGGAGCCTGAGGTATGTTTGGATATTTGGAACTTTGTGGCTGGACACAGCGAGATCTAGAAATGAAGGCAACATTAGCTTCACAATAATATACCGAACAAATGCCAAACAATCAATCGATCTTTACCTATGCATCCAAAGTCAGAGCAGTGGATTTAACCGAAGTCGGTCGCACTAAATTCACTAGGTCCCTTTCTCGAAAACCTAATCCTTAGTCTCCAGATCCAATGGGTCATTAAATCAGAGCGGGTCATCGGCTCACCCTTAGCTTCCTCCTAGTAAACAACAACAATGACGTCGTCGAAATGTAACTATTTGGAATTAACCTCCCAAGTCCTCGTGAGATATCATCAACAACCTCCCGACAACATATCTCAATTCGACTTCATAGTAACAAATCATTAACTCAAAGCAATCATTGAAAATGTCTGGACTTCTCGAAACAACTCGCAACTTCTCCCTCTATGGTGTAAGAATGGTACCCAATACCCAACCGATGCCGACTTCTGACATGCACACAGATTCCCGCTGCATGGCTAATCTCCCACTGCCCTCATTTATACGCCGCCACCGCAACAAAATGTTTCGATAATCGCTTCCCCAGAGACTTCCCCCAGCGTCTCGAAGCCGATCAAAGCATCGACCAAGCCGTATTTCCCTCATTTTTACCTTCTGCCGCCAGATAAAGAAACCTAACACCCATTAGAAAAGAAATCGTGTTCGCCGAGCCCACGCCGCCGGATCCAACGGCTACGAAAACCTCGGTCTCTTTGCTGCGGCTGTTGTGGCGGGAAATGTTGCTGGACTTTCTCATTATACACTCAATGCCCTTACTGGAGGGTATTTGATCAGTCGCGTGGTTTATAATTTCATTTATGTCAATAATACGACCGAGGGAGCTGCCGCGACCAGAAGCGTGGTGTTTTTGGCTGGAATTGGACATATCTTCACATTGTTTATTAAGAGTGGGAATGTTTTGAGAAATGGGGCTGCGAATTTGTTGTAGATGGATGAGGAAGTGGTTGCTGGCATGTATTTGCGGAATATTGAGGAAGTTCGACTATATCAGGCTATATATATTCATGTAAGATAGAGAAAACAGGAATTGAGAACTGTACAGAGATGATTCTTATGGCTTCTGACTGTCGTATCCTAGAAGTGAGTGCGTATTCGGCAATATTCGTTGACATTGTATACGTTGACAAAAAGTTCCATCAAGGGCAATCTCGGAATAGAAGTTGGAATCTTGAAGTGAACTGACGAAAATCATGTTGGTCGAAGAACATTCTCCAGGATACTGCTTCACCTGAACCTTTCGATGACAATCCAGAAATTAATTTGAACATCGAATCCGAAATATCAAGCAGGATTCTTGTTTCATAGCCTGAGAATATTTTCACAATGACTGCAAATCGTCAAAGAATATTATCCAAACTATTGGAGTCACTATGGCAACCAGAAAACCGTCCTGTATTGACAAAGCAGATCTCCAACATGAAATCGCTTTTCTTCATGCCCTTCAAGAAATCAATGTTCTGTTTGAAATTCTTTGCCAAGGGATCCGACATGATCATGAATTGAGGGCAATGATTGTTACCTAAGAGGCTTGATTGTAGAAGTAGTCAATACATTGGAGATTGTCAGAGAGATGGTAAGATTGATGAAATGAGATGGAGATGAACTCGATATCAAGGGACTGGAATGGATCATTTGATTCGGGGTGGATTTGACTTGTATAGAGAAGACGAGAAAAGAACTGAAGAAAGTGATGAGAAGGGGAATGGGCTTTTCTTATGAAGAAGGCCTTGGAGAAATCTGATGTCGAGAGGGAAGATGGTGATGATGATGATGATGATGACGGAGAGTCAGTTTATTCTTAGAAAGTATCATTGAACTGGTGGATGTAGGAAGTTCTCCAAGATTTACATGATGAGAAAGCGCAGCTCTTAAGTATGGAACATTGTATTGAAAATGGAAATAACTACCTAGGTAAGCAATGTAAGCAAAATAGAACCGGCATAATCTTCACCGCTTACCTAAAGACGACTCTCCTTGATTTGTTCTGTTGCTTCAATTGTTAAACAAATGTCCTGACATTCTATCATTACTATCCGATATCTACTCGAGCAGATAGATGGCTTCATATATTCTCCAATATGTTATCGTCGATCACTCCCCACTTTCGGTGGTATATCACCCGTGCTGCTGAACTAAACTCTGCTATTCTCTGACGTCAATAGTTGTTACTGTACGTATTGAGTAACTTGGAATGCATAGTGTTTGGTTTGCACGTTCAACCAACAATGAAGCAATTAGAACAAATTTCATGAATCTAGTCAACCACATCAAAGAGAATCAATAAGTCAACTACCCTACTTTCGGGCCACCCCCCCTTTCGGGCCACCCTTTCACACCAAAAACAGTGATTTTTGATTTTTATAACTTTTTATTCATTCGATATAATTGAATGAAATTTTAATTATAGATCCTCTATATAGTTATTAGATCAGGTACAGATTTTCAGAATTTTAGTGATTTTATATAAAAAGTTATAAAGATTTAAAATTCGAATTTTATTTTGTATGCGATTTGTATACAAATTAAAATATCTAAT